GTTAAAATGACATTAGAACTGCCCAGAATATTTTGTTTTTATACAGTGATGACCATATATAATAATGATGCTCATTCTTGTGTAGCTTAAAAAGTATTTTTTTAGAAACACGGTTAATCAAATTAAAAAATTATTTCAAATCTGATTAAAATGCTGAAGAAAAAGATGCGATTGTTTGTCCCAAATCCAAAAATTGCCGAGTTTAAGGCAAAGATATTAGATGAGATTACGGAAAGGAAATTTGAGAAAATTGGCGAAGAATACGCGAGATCAAAAGTCCAGACGCCTCTCGATGGCTAAAATTATAACTACAAGTTAAGTAGTAATTTGACACTTGTTTTGTTGACAGGTTGTCACGTGTCACTGTCACATAAGTATTGTTTTATGTTATAAATGTCATTACTTCAATAAATAAACAAGTCTGACAGGTCTCAACTGTCACGCGACAACGACTAATTTGACTTTTCGCAGCGTATGTGCACTGGTTTTCGAGAGTTGAGTGAAACTTCGTGTTTATTGCGTCTTGAGAATTGAGAATCTTGGGAAATAAGAATGCACCTTTTAGGAATTTTTAAAAATATGCCCGCTGAACTTGGAAAAACTGATTTTGTGGTAAACTTTTAAAGATGCGAAAAACTCAATTTGTTCCTATAAATTAATTGAAACTTTGTACATGTTGAACTCCGGTATTCTTCCAAGGAAAAACGCAAATTTCAGTTTTCCAAGAAACTGAAAACAGAAACTTGCTGAAGTGCCGAAAATTCTATATCGCAAAAACACTGAGATTGAAGAGAGCGAAGCTTGAATGAAGAATCACTTGACATTCAATAACGAAGGAAGAATGCATCAAAAGGTGACACTTGTGACGTTGGCAGGCGAGTCACAATAGAAGAATGCACGCAATTGACATTGACAGGAAATATTCAATTAATCGCCATAGCAAAGCCTAATAAAGCGTTCAAACTTTGTGGATTGCGTCGCAAAGTGACAGTTGTATCGCTGACAGGCGTGTCACAAGAGATTGACATTGACAGGGAATGATTAATCGCCATGGCAAAGGCTAATAAAGCGTTCAAACTTTGTGGATTGCGTCACAAAGGGAGAATAATAGAATAATGCACGCTATTGATGTTGCTATTGACATTGACAGGAAATCTTCAACTGCTCGCCTTAGAGAAGACTGTTGAATCCTCAATTATGTCGGGTGTTTTGCATAAATCATTCGATGATTTTTCCTCATTCACTCAATAAGACGACTGGAAAGCATCAGAACTGCTGTTACCTGTTAAATCCTGCAATCTGGGATAGAACATGCCGGTTCTGGCAAGCCATTCCATCTGGATCTGGTGGAACTGGCTGTGCGGGTTCATGGGAATGTGCACTTTCTGCATGAGGCCTCCATCCAGAGACTGAAACGCTGAGTTTTGAGGAGGTCCTGGATACGCATACAGGGCGTTTGAGTTCAGGTAGCTGGCTTGGTTGAGGAGTCCGGGCCTGGGGACGAAAGCGGTGGTGGAAACCTCCTCACAACCCGGCGAAATCGGAGGACTCCGACTCCTTGTGGAGGTGGAGGAGGTGCTGCGAGTCATTTCCGGACTGGGAGCCCGTTCTTCGTTTCGCGACAGAAGCGCATCGATGCAAAACGAGCCTTTCGACTCGTGGATTTTTGTATCCAGATTTAACCGTTTACTGTTCTGATAGTCCGGATGGTGCATCCTGTCGAGCGCACTTAACTCTGGAACCACTTTGGAACTGAAACCGTCGGCAAAGTGCCAATTTATCACCTGATAGACCAGACTTAACGGCAGCTCAGTGGCAGATAGACTAAACGATTTGAAATGTATTATCCTAATAATATGAGACATTACAGGGACATTAGACGATACATTACACGCTGTGCAGCGCTGCGCGCAGCCACCGGCCTCCCATTGGTCGGAAGTTCGGCGGCTCCGCCCAGCACCCCAATGTTAGAAGTTCGTTGCCGGGCAACTGGCGTCTGTTGGCACGCGATTTTCGACTCTCCAACACGGGCATTTTGTGATTAAACTTTCATCAAGCGATCCCGGAATCCACGCTGAAAGCTAAACCTCGTTAATTCTTAGTGGTTTCTCACTTTGTTCCGTTCGAGTGGATTTTAGGACTTTTAATGGATTACTAATTGAATCGGATTGTTTCATTTGGTAATGCGAGCTGCTTTTGTTTTATATCCGCCGATTTTTTGCTGGTTGGCTTCGCATTTTATTGCGCTACTTAATGGTCGGTTATTTGCTCGACTACTGATGGCCCTTTTCAGCCGCATCTCTCCTACTTATCGGGGCTGTCAGGCCCTGATTGGTTCGATTTGAGCGCACATGTCAGTTTGGAATTTGACGTTTGTCCTTCAGGCGTCAGATTTCTGACTCAAACTTGCTTAAACCGAACGGGACTTTTCTTTGCTAACAAAAAGTGCGGGTTTTGTACGCTAATTTGGCTCTTTTGCACGATGGGAGTGAAATCCATTGAGGGCTGTGGACCTTCAGATTCAGGAATTTCAGTGACGCACTTGGTAAGTCGAGAGTTTTTTGCAAGATTTGAGGTTTTGGTGACATTTTCGGGTGTAAAAATGCCCTGTTGGTATAGTCCGGATGGTCTAAGACCGATTTTCGCCGGAAAAACGCATTTAAATGAGCGGCCTTTGGAAATAATTGCTAATTGAAGAGCGCCGGTTTGTCTTCGGTAAAAAAATCGTTAAGCAAACTAATCAGTTTGCATTGAGGACATGCCAATGCCGACAAAGAGCCAACAACCGATCCTCGGGCCTAATGAGAACGATTGTTAATTTGGAATCAATTACTTAATTGTATATTAATTATACATGTTCTTGTGTCAACATCGGGCAAGAATTTAAAGCGAACTGACTGTTTGCACAGGCGAAAAAATGAGAAACGTAAAACTCACTCGGCTAATTATATGTCAATATAACTTTATATGTTTGAAGCGGCGGAGAGTATTTTGTTATTTAAATACGTTTAAAATCCAATCAATTAACTGACGTGTTGACTTTTAAAGAAGCTAAATGCTGTTTCAGCGCATTCCCCGTATTTACGTACGTGTCCAAGGGCCTAGATTTATGAAATGTTTACACGATTACTTCGTCCACTCTGTTTGGGTTGCCATCAATAGTTCAGAGGTAATAATGTTGTTGTAGAGTCTCAGGTAGATGCTGAGTCAATAGAAATGATACTGTGAACAACGAGGAACGCAAACCGACGCTCACAGCTTAATCGCTCCGAAGTTCTCACGCTCAATCGCACACTCAACAGTTTTTTCGGCTGTCGTCACAAAAACCCTTCGGACGTTTCGCAAGCACGATGGGCGAGCATCCTCAGAGGTGGTTGCTGTGCGCGCAAACAGCGGCCTCCTAATGGCCATCGGTTCAAAGATGTTTAATTTTTCAAAAATTCCTGAGCAAATTAGGGACCAACTGCAAACCGTGTTCTGATGTCATTCAATAGAGAAAGATTTGAGCTACTCGTTCGACGAGTCTCGATTTAAAGCCGTTTTTCCTCATTATTTCACAATTTTTTCAGCAATCCTGCAATTTCTCCTCTAGGTATACCCACTGATGAAACACGAGATTTCCCAAAAATTCTCGCTCAAACTCGGGGTGAGCTAAAAAGCTATTTTTTATGCCAATTGATAGAGAAAGCGTTGCTCTATTTGCCTGCTAAGTATTGGTTTAAAGCCGATTTTTCTCAATTTTTGCCAACTTTTTTAAAATTCGGGTCAAATTGCATTTTTTTATCTGCAAAATTGCTATTAATCCCACCAATAGAGCGAATCGTAGCCCATTAAATGCCATAAATGGCAGCAATCTGTCCAACCTCAATTTTGAGTACCCAATTTTGTGACTAAACTGCGTAGGATGCCTTATAGGATGCAGAAATGGGCATCATATTAAAAAAATCGCCAAAAATTCTTGGAAGAAGGCTGAAAATTGCTAACGATCACACTAACAAATGGACTCCTGCTCTATTAAATCCCGTCAATTTCAATCCTCTGCCCAACCTCAATTTTGAGTGGCGAAATTTTCGACTGTGACCCGCAAGCCAAACCCGACCTCATTTTTGAAAAATCGCCAAACATTCCGGGGAAAAGCTGCAAATATGCAAACAATCAAACTAACAGAGCAATTATGAGTCTATTAAACCCCTCATATTCCAATCCTCTATCAAATCTCAATTTTTGAATAAACAGTGACGCACAGGAAGGAAGCAAAACTGCCTCATGTTAGAAAAATCGCCAAAAATTGTGCGAACAAGATACGAATTTGAGAATTATCATACTAATAGAGAAATGTTTTGTCTGCCATCCAGTGACCTGTTTTGACTCAATTTTGAAAATATCGCAACACAGAAGTTTATCCATATCCAAAAACCTGCACTTGTACCAGACAAAATCTGGTTTTACCCATTTAGCTTTCACTTAAGCTGAACATGCGGAAAATGGATTAATTCCTGGAAAAGGCCGCAAAAGTGTTCCAAAATGTACAAATGCATTCAAAGATTCTTGCAGGTTTAAGTAGGCGACGAAAAGAAGCTTAGCACATTTTCAAGAAAAAATGCATTTATTTTTTTTCCATTAGAAATATTAATAACAATGTATTGTCTAATACTTTTAATATTTATAGGCACTTTCCGATCGTTTACTTTGAAGTGAATGTTGATAGAGCGTGATTTTTCTCCATTTAAAACGACGAAAAGAGAAGATTGTTAATAAAATCTGAACAAATAATAGCATTTTGCCAGATTTATCAAATCCCGATTACGATTAACCACTATTTACCCAAGGATCTAATTATATCAATAAAATCGGATATTTGCTAGCTATTGGCGATTGCGTAAGCAATATATTTACTTAAAAAATTATTAATTTGTATTTATGCGATTAGATTGAATTTTAAAATAAACCATCAATCAAACATCGATAATCCGTAAATCGTTAACGGCTTAATACTGATAAGGAGAAAACGTATCGGTTTATCGCTTGTAATTGAGTTTAATTACAACGTCGAAAAATAATTGTCAATTTTCTAAAGGATTAAGCTTGTTGTGTTGTTTGCGTTTCGATTCGCCTTAATCTATCGATCACTTTGGATTTTCAAACATTTTAGATCAGATTTCGGGTAGTGAAAGGTTAAGTGGTTCCACTTCGATCGTTTTTTCCACCTTTTCATCATCGCTCAATCAGCTTTCTTCAGTTTTTCGTTTTTGCAGAATTTTTGGTCCATTTGTTCAGTGCTTTAATCGCAAGCACGATTTTGAAAATTCACCTCAACTCAACAAAACATGTGATTCGAACGAAAATTTCCCTATAAAAGGAAGTAACTGGCTTTTTGCGGTGATGCAAAAAAATGTCTCCAGATAGTCTAGTTCTTGAAATAACATTTTAAATTTTCCACTACTTTGTGTTGCTCAAAACTCTGATATTTTAAGCGACGCGGGTATCAATTTCGAACGCAGCCAGGCACAGCCATGATGGACCGCTCATAGGCTCCCATGGGTGCGAGTGAGAGAACCGAGGCGAGCTACGTTCTGAAATGCGAATTGGCACAACCAGCTTATTCAGAGAAATTTGCGGTTGGAAGTCAGAATAGTGGCCTTAGGCAAAATAGTGAGAATGTTGATTTTTACGCATTAAGCCAACGCTCTCATGCTATATTATAGTCACTCGTGCTTGCGAAACGTCAGTAAGAAATTCAATTTTACGACGGCCTAAAAACCCGAAAACCCCACTAGTTTTTCAAGCAGTAGTTAACTGCCTACAATAAGAATATTAATTGATTTATAAAATTACGTCGCATTTTACGCCAACTAGCAAATTAAAGTTGAAAAGTTGCCTCCCTTCACATTGTAACGATTTGAAAGTCCTTAGCTGTAGAGTCTGGAAAAACCAGGGAAAAAGCCTGTAGATCGGAAAATCGACAAGTGAACAGGTTCATTAAAACATAAGTGTTGTGTAGCAATATTTTATCAGCAATTGATAAATCATTAGTTTAAACAAGTACTCAATCACTTCGCTCGTCGACTATTTTGTTATGGAGGCCCCTTCGTGTTTACAGTAGCATATGATGGTCTGTTGACAATCGTTCCCTTCCATCTGTCACATTAAAATTATTTTAATAGACTAATTTATATTGGGTATCCTCTATTAAGTTGTTTATTGATAACATTACTGATTAGGTTCGGTTTGTGTACAGGAGCAGCGCGTATTTGCGTGAGAATCACCTCGACTTTTGCCGGTAAAGTCCTGGATTTGCTCGATTGTAGCTCGATTTTGCCAGAAAAAACACTTTTAAACGAAGTTTGGCACGCAACTTCAATACGATTTAAGCGTCTGAAACCAACAGTTTGTCCAATTATTGCGCCTGGATGCTTTGGTGTAAGCCACTGGGGGCCAGTTGGCCCAAAATGCAACTTCTTTCCCATTTAGGCGCTTTTTTATCTCTGGTTTCCTCAGTAAACAGTCAATTGATTATTTGGCCACCGTGTATATAGTCAAAAATGCCAGCAATGTGGGTTGCCAAGTTTCTATTTAGTGGAAGGTGCTGTGTTCTAAAACATCTGGTCTAATCTAAACAGAGCGCCTTTAAGCCCAGACTAATAAATGCGGCGTTGTCAACCTCCTTAAGGTATAAGAAAAACCCGGAAAGTTTTAAGCATTCTTTGCTCAGCAGCGCGGATTTGGCTCCGGCCACAATCAGAATAACAGCGTGTTCTTGAGCCCGCTGAAGTTGGCACTGTTTTTCCAGTTGTATTCATTCCTAACCTCTAATGCAGCAGAAGCAAAAGTAGGAAAATGTTACTGTTTGCCCGCAAAAGATCATAAAACCCCAAAACGGTAGAAAATCTCTGTTGCGTCTTCAGACTCATTTTTCTGAAGTGTTTCGAGAGCTGTTGTTGCCCGCCAGGGCTGATAAAACATTTCTAACCTCTAACAAAACAGATGCCAGACAGAACCGCTCAGAAACTTCCCCAGCTAACCTTAAAAAAGTGAGGTTTTGAATGAAGGTTTGCAAAAGAAGACGTCATAATAATTCCTAACCTCTAAGGAAGCAGAAGCAAATCTAGAAAAACATTTGGATTCTCTGAAAAACTGTCTTTTTTAATGAAAGTTTATCAGAAATTGCTCGCCTTTAAACAGTTAAAAGAGAAAACCGTCGAGCATGGGAAAACTGCTGAAGATTCACATTTTGGTGYSRCACCAAAATGTGAATCTTCAGCAGTTTTCCCATGCTCGACGGTTTTCTCTTTTAACTGTTTAAAGGCGAGCAATTTCTGATAAACTTTCACCAGAAGCACGATTAAAACTTGCAAAAGTCTTAGAGAACTCTTGAAAGTAAAGAAAAACCCGGAAAACAATGTACATTTCTATTAAACAATTCTGTAATGTACCAGACGAAACCCTCTAATACTATCGGCGATTCAAGATGAAAAATTGCACATAAACCAACAGCCCAATCAACACAATCACCACCAGCAACATGGTTATCTTCAACGCGATGATTCCAGTTTTGGAGGTGGGAACATTGTTTAGTTCTTCACTAATTTCCTTCAGTAGTTCGTCCTCTTCGCCCGCATCCAGCTCTGAGCAGTTCATCGGATCAGTAGCAGCATGAACGCTCGAATTTTTGAAGCCAGTGGTGATTCTCCTCAGCTTCGGGCAACTGATCATGTTGTCTCGCAGGTCCACTTTACTGATCAACGGGGCCTGTCGGAGGAAGGCGAGTAAGTCAAAGTCAACCATATTGTTGGTGGACAGATCAAGAACTTGCAGGTTGTGCAGCTGGAGTTTGCCTGCTATAAACGCACGTTTGATCTTGTTGTGGGACGCATTGATGAACCTCAGATAGGGCAGGCCGGAAAACGAGCCAGTGGCGAATTCTGTGAGGGCGTTGTGACTGAGAATCGCCTCTCTGAGCGAATGGAGCTCCTGGAAAACCTGCTTGGGAAGAGTTACGATCCAGTTCAAGCTCAGATCCAGTATTTCCAAGCTGTACAGCCCGTGAAACACGCCAAGCTTGATGAGATCGCTGCCTACGTGGCTGTTGGACAGGTTGAGTTTCTTCAAGCTGTTGGGCTGTCCCAGGTTCAGGTTCAGGGTGCTGATGAAGTTGTGGGACAAATCCACCTTAAGCAACTTGCTCAATCCATGCAAGTCGGTCGGGCTGATCTTGGCCAACTGATTGTTGCTCAGCAGAAGCACCTCGAGGTTCCGTAAACTGTTGAGCGAATTGTTCAGCTCCCGTAAGCTGTTGAACCGCAGATCCAGATTGCGTAGGTTGGGCAGCCCTTCGAACGTCTGGGTCTCCAGCAGCGGCAACGAGTTGTTCTGCAACAGCAAGTCGGTCAACAGCAACAGACCATGGAAGACAAAAGGCGGCAGAGGAGCCGTTAGGGCCTGGTTCATGTACAGTTTCTTGACCTTTCTGGCCCCGTGGAAAGCCCCACGCTCCAAATGGTGAATGGAGTTGTTGGACAGATAGAGCTTTTCCATGAAAATCAGTCCAGTGAAGGCGTGCGCTTCGATTGTTTCGATTGCGCTGTTGGCTAGATCCAGAACTTGGATCCGGTTCCCGCCGATATCGAAAGTGCCTGTTATCAAGTGGGTCAAGGTGCAACCTGAGCAGATTAGGGTCTCGTCCAGGTGGTCAAAATTGTAGATGGTGGCATGGAATGTGCTGACAGTGGCGTTCGTGCAGATCGCCGTCAATGAGCCTCGCTCTGCATATTTGCAGTTCGTGAATGGGCTTTGTTGGGCGCGAGTCAGCTGGACGAGCGCCAGCAGTGCCCATAGTAGGCCAGTTTTCTGGAAGCATTAATTCTGCGTTAAACTCACCCGGGTTGGACTGGGGGGAAAAACATTGTCTGGTTCCATGAAACACTCGCAGTGTTGATAAAGTTTTGTCAAAGGTCGAAGCATGTGGTCGAATTATCGCGTTGTTCGTTTGTTTTCCTATTTAATTAACGTCGATTTGACGCCGATTCTATATAATGTCCAGCGCCTGGTTCCTGGACTGCGTCCAGGAAAATCGCTTACCTCAACTTTCCGTTGTTGGGACATTTTGGAAGTCGTTTGGTTGCCCGGATTCTCTTGGATGCGTGGTTCACTCGCTGAACATGGCGCTGGATCGGACGCGATCGCTTTGCAATGAACAATTATAAATAAACTATTTATCGGGTATTAAACGAAATGTTTACACTTTTATCGGGAGCTGGCACGAAGCGAAGAACTGCTATCAGCGCAGTGGTTAATTAATGTACGAAGGAAAGCGGGTTCGATAAATTTATTTAAACTTATTATTGGGATTCACTTTAATACGACACAGTTTTGGTGTAATTGATCCAGTGGCGTAGGCCTGGGTAACTCAATGAATTTTTGCGAGTTGGCGCAGTGCTACGCAAATGGCTTGTTGGCGCACTAACTTCTTATTTTATAGGCCATTTATCAATAATATTTTTAACATTTCTTCAGAATTTTCCAGTTTTTGCAAAGTTACTCTTTTTTCTAAATGCTCAATTTTCACAAAAACCACTTTTTGGACAGAGAAAACACAAGCATATAATCAATATTTGGAAAACTCGGATTCCCGGATTATTTCGTCATGTCTGGTATAGTAGGCCCATTTTTTGACAACCCAATGATATTGTGGCCAAGCGGCCAGGCCTACAAGCGCTAAATCGCCGGTTATACGTGTGATTTGCTCAAAGTTTTTCGACGTTAAACCAATCAACTTGGTCAAATTGGGAAAAAGTTGGGCTTAGTCCTGTTGGAAAACAGTCCGATATAAGTGGATTAAATTGAGAAATTAAGAGCAGAAAAGTTACGCTGGAGAGTCTGATTTTGGTCATTGCCTTGGCCTAAAAGAACGTTAATGTTTACCAATTATGAGTTTGTGTAAAATTTGTAATTTTGTGTAAAAAAAAAAGGTTCTTTTAGGTCTTTGCCTTCTTGAAACCTTAAATTTGTCT